CCTAAATTGCGAAGCCGCGATAGATTATAGCATGAAAGAACAGTATGAGAAAAGAAGGTAAGAGCGCGATAAGACGTTTCGGTCCATTAAGTCATACACGCTATAATTACAAATTGGCAATTACATATTCATGTGAAAAAGCAAATAAACGACTTCCGAATGTCAATGCCTTTGGTCATTCGCCAGTGAGTATCCATCTCTTTTGGTCAGCTGAGTATCCATCTTTTTTATCCTCCCACTTGCTTTCCCCTCCCCCACTTCCCACTATATGAGGTGAAATACTATGAACATACTGTTATGGACAAGTTCGATGAAACTCGGCAAAATATCTGTGACGCAAAATTTGGATGCAATTTCGAACAGCTGTACTTGCTGCCCGGCTATCAAGGCGATCTGTAAATCCTTTGCACTGGTTTGATCAGTGATTCCAATAGTCATTTCTGAAACAGAAGAAAAAACTAAAACCAAACTGTCAGTATCTGTGGAACTTAGGAAAACCAGAATTGCGCAAACAGCCGGTATGTTATCTAGAGTTCTGTTGAGAAGCTAGAGCAGCTATACCAGGCCCTTCGATCACGATTTGCATATCCCACCAGTTAAAACTACTGCCTATTCACAAACACAACACACACATCTACAGATCTTCCTTTTCTCAGCTGCGCAACCCTAGTTTGCTCATAAGTCGTTACATAATTTTCAGGTCAGCGCTGCACTTAACACTTCATTCGTTTCCTTCAAACAGATCCAATTTTTATGTGTATTTTCTGTGCGTTTTCGCTAAAGTGAGTACGTTTTGAAGATTTTATAGCCCTCTTCGGAGTTCCTTCAAATCTGCATTTTTTTCAGTGAACGACAACTCACAGGAAAAACGACCGGGCTTCATGCAAAAAAGTGATGATCATGCACGTTCGAGGTCCATGCTGTCCCATAATGCAATATCTTCATCCTAGTTGACGCTCTTCTCTCCGCATGCGGGAAAAGGCCAAATTACAGCCAATGTGAGTCTAAGTGTTAAAGTGCAGCACAGAAACCATTCCTGCTTTTAGCGATCTACAAGCTTAACGCAAAAACACACAAATGCACCCGTCGAGATTGCTAAATCTCGAATTGCCATAATTGTATAAAATGTGCATTTTTGTAACATGTGGGTGTTTACTTCTTTTTGTGCTCTATTTCTTTCCGCGCGGCACTGTCCTTTTCATGCACTTTCGCTTCAACAAAGGAAGATGTCGGATCAACAACGTCCAGATGTTACGACGGCGCTTATCCCTTCCTTTCTTCTTTTTTACCATTTCAATGGATTCGACGATGAACGGACGACAACTACGGACGATGAAGCGACGAGAAGCTGATCATCTTTTTTTTTACTATTTTTTAATGCATTTTTGTATCCGAGTATATTCGACGTTATTCGTTCGTGTCGCGCGTATTTATGTATGATAAAGGTTATATTACCCAATTTTGGGGTAATCGACGACACAACGAGTGGATCTGCGATTGGTAAATACTGAACGACGGAACAACGTTAGCTGACCAAAGAATCAACACCTGGTGGTATTCACACTGTTTGCTAGTCGCCAAATTCGGGGATTTAGCAATATTTGCTGGCAGCATAATTACTCAACTAGCGCGCACTGGAGATACTTGAGGGCACGAACCAGAAATACAATTTAATTATTATTGTTGTGGGGCAAAGCGACCTGAGGAACCAACAAAGCTGTTCCTCCTCCACAACAGCACCCGCGAGCTTGGTGCGTTGCAGCCTGGGTTCGACATCAGAACGGAACTGCCATATTTTAGGCAATGCAAAGTCTGGATACCTTTTAGCGGCTGACTCAGCTGATCCCCAGAAATCTCCGATGAAATGCTTCGTTTAGTTTCATCCATATCTTGGTCCCACAGCACCTGATCATCGTTATCATTTGCACCTGGATGATTTCGACGCAACGTTTCCAGGTCAAAAACCGTCTCATATGTGCGCCAAAATGTGGCACAGTTCAGCAGCGCTGTTTGGATCACTTCGTTGCTTTTTTTCTCCTTATTCTCCTCAATAACTGACCACAGCAACAGCTGAAATGCACGGATATTACCTATCAGATAGGGCGGATGTAAATCTCATCTATTACTGGGATGCATGTGGTACAACTTGCATAATCATGACGCACTCTTCTAAACCGAACTGTGCTGCCTTTTCTTTCTGCCTGTGATTTCGAAGCAAACCTTTCTACGGTTTCCTTGGCAAGTACTATTCACACATTCTACTCATTTAGCTATGTTCAGCAACACTACCATGTTTGCCGCAATTTTATGGACACTTCAAAGTTTAAAATTTTGAATTTTTGAAGAATACAAGAGGAAAATATTGCTGTCTCGTACTCTCGAGACGTAAATAATTCCCCAAAAAATTTGCCGGAACATAGGGAGTGACCAAAGGAATTCTGTGAACAAGCCAAAAAGCCTTTAATCGTGTTTGCGTCCAGAAAGTCTTAGAAATAATTGGCCAACGCACGGGCTGCCCGTGCGAAGATGCGTCTTTTGCATGGTTCCACACAGTTTTTGTTGCTACCGGCACTAGTTTTTTCCACAAATA